AAACTATGCACAAAGCAGAAATTAAGGATGACAATTTCAGGCGACTACTTTGTAAAATATAAGTCAACATTTACCAGTAAATCTGCATCCAAAGAACTGCAAGGAGCAACATTGAGATAGCTTTGAAATCGTTTGGAGATATAAAAAAATTGTGCATAGTCTAATAAAATATTACCAGGGGATGGAACAGATAAGATAACTAGACGCACCTCGTTGCAAGCTTCTTCGTTGGGGTCCTCAGTACCACCGACTCCTGGGGCGCCGACGCCCTGAGAGTTTGGACGTACACCAGATTCATTAGAATTGGCGGCAGCAGCAGCAGCTGCTGCCAGGCGGGATTCAGCGTAGAGACGTCGTTGCTGATGCAAAGCCTCGAAGTCAGGCACGATGGCCTGCCGGCGCTCGTAGATTGCTGTATGGACACAATTTGGAAGAATGATCAAGAGAAGTGAATCAAAGGTTATACTTACAATCGCGTAGACAGTGATACGTGACATTCAATTATTGTGACAGAATTTGTTTATAACTTCAGTCGAGGTTCAAATGTAAAGATGCGAAGGTAGAGTAACTTCAAAATATAATAATCGGAACCGTAATGATCAGTGGCATTTTAAATTTGGGTTAAACTGTGATGTTAAATCTTGAGTGGAAAAAATGGGTGACATTTGCTGTGTATCTACTCTACTCTGAAAATTATTGAAGAGGACTCAACTTACTTTCAACATATGAGCCCCAAGCACAAATACAGCTTTATTAAGTATTAAGATCCTAATCTTTAACTCATATTGCTCCATAGCTTTTCACAAATCCGACTTTCTGGACAGCATTCAGCTCAAAAAAATTAATACTACAAAGGTGCATAATACCATCAGATCCATTTTTTATAATTTCGGGATCAATGTATGGTAAATTGTGACACCTATTGATAAACGAAAAGTATCCTAAAGTCAAAATAAATCTTTAATGCTAAATTGTGGCATGATTTTTCATTTTCAAGTAAAATTTGATTGGAATGAACTCCGGTGAGCTGCAGCACTAAATATCCAAGCTGTAAATCTTTGTTTCTGGATTCAAGGAATGCATGGCTCGACAAAGAGAAAAGATGTAATTTGAAATTAAAATGCATTAACCAATCAAAAGACAGTGTCAATGCCTTAAGGCTAAAGGTTATAACCGTAGATATTTCTCTCGAATGGCTTACTCTCTCATGGGTTCTAAGCCACGAAAATGTTTATATCAGTAAATATTCGTTCTAGAAAGTTTAGCTCAACAAGAAATAAAACATACCTTCAACATAGAATCGAAACGAAGGAGGCACAAGTTCAAGACAAGTATTGTATTCTTGTTGCGTGCACAGAGGAGTGCCGAGGCGCAAGGTAAGACCCATTCTTTTGAGGGTGTCAACTTCATCTCTGATTTCGAAGGCCTGATCAAAATTGAACTGGTACTCGAGACTATTTCATCAAATTATTGAAAAATAATAAAGGACAATATGAAGACAATTACACAATTTAAAAGCTAAAATATAAAGGTGTTAATATATA